ACTCACACACACACACACACACCCACCCGCGCACTCACTCACTCACTCACTCACTAACTCACTCACACACACACACACACACACAGACTCACACACACTTGCACACAAATAAAAATAAAATATTTTGAAACATACAAGTGCAACAACAAAACATTCATTGAATGTGCTTTTAATGTGTTTTATATATTTATCATCAATCAATCCAGTTTGTTTCAGTCGCATGCAGTTTAACTAATTAAATATTGCTTGTCCCACAGCTAGCCATATTTTAACCATTTGCATCCTTTTGATCAGAATGAATTGAACCGTTGTCACAGTTTAACAGATTTATGCTGATTCATTAAAAAATATATATGATTATTTAAATAAATAATTTATCATTTTATAAATACATCACAAATACAGTTAATAGTAAATTATACTGTGATTATTTTTTGAGTGCAGAAATTGGACCGGATTCATTTAAGTTAAAACTCTGTAATCCAAATGCATGGAAAGTTTATATGCAATTCAAACAATTAGCGCTTAACAAAATCCAGATTGTTTCAGAGCGGCTTCACAGAGATGAACAGGGAAATAACCGTGTTAATATTGTACAATGTTTCAGTTATGAAACTAACAGAACAGAAGACATTATTCAGTTCAATAGCAGTGTCAGTGTTTCAAAGTTCGTCAGTTATGACACAAACATCTGCATCTTCATCTCAGATCACGGCTCGTATTAAAGCAGCTGTTAATAAACGGCAGCGTTTCATCCGAAATGTGGATCAGTTATCCTCTGAATCCTGGAAACACTATTTATCCGTCTATATATCCTGAGAGAGACGAGTGAAGCCTGCTAATGCTGTGTTTTACCGCTGCAGTGGAAAGATGCCAAGCCGGACGACCTGATGGACTCCAAGCTGCGCTGCGTGTTTGACATGCCTTCAGACAGTGAGAAGCTGGTGAGTCTGGGTTTGCTCACGATTATAAATCACTAGCACTGTTACTCACTCCTTCATTCTGCACCGGCTCTGATCAGAGCGAGCTGGAGTCCACCAAAGCCTCGTCTGCTCTGAACGCCTCGAAGGCCGCCGGCAGTCTGTCCACGGACGACACGGAGATGAGGAAGCTCATGGAGGAGAGCAGGAGACTGCAGACAGAAGTGGGGAAGCTGCTCGACGAGAACCGCCAACTCAAGGTACTGGAGACTGTCTCCTGATTCACTCGTATTGACCCAATAACACATGAGATTACTGAGAGATTCACAAACAATACCTGCTGGAAGTCTTGAGATTTCAGCAATTTAACATGTTCATGGGTCTGTAATGTTCATTGATGGTCACATGATGATATGCAGGTAAACAAATAAAATGTGAATCTTTTTTAGTGTATTTTTTTTTTTTTATGAAAAAACTTTTATATTTTTAATTTTAATTGATTTCAAATAAAATATTAAATCTTTTTTTGGTAAATGTTTTATTTTGACTTTGTGTTTTAGAAGACCAATCAGATGGTTAATAATTATTATTAGTACTCTTTTTTTTTATTTTTTATTTTTTTTATTCATGCCAAACAACTTTTGTGTTAAATTGTATCAAGTTGTAACAAGTGTAAACAAGTGATTGTAACAAGTAAAAAAAACAACAACAAAAAAAACCAATATAAAATAACTTTTATAAATAAATGAAAAACAGTCATATAAAGTTAAACTTTTACTTTTCAAAGATTGTTTGTTTTTTATGACCATCAACGACAAAACAGGAATTATAGTCTACCAGAAAAATTGACAGTAACAGATTCTTACCCCAAAATATGCATGAATGTATGAACAATTTACAGACTATAATAAATAAATTAATAAATAATAAAGAATTTGAGTTGTGATCGGGAAAAATAATATTAAGTGTTCACACACATTGTTTTTTCTGAGATACATAGCTATTTTACCTCCATTTCTAAAAAATGAGGACAGAAATATAGGCTGTTACTGGTGTAAGTTACAGTTGTACTGTAAAATAACTTAATATTCCATAATTATAAGTTAAAATATGATATTTATGTCTTCAAAACATTCAAACCCTTGAGCTTTAAACAGTCGTTTTATAAATAATAATCTGCAGAAATGAGTTTGGACTCAAAAGCTTTGGCATCAGAACATACAGGAAGTGTTTCTGGTAAACATTATTATTATTATTTCACAATGTTGTGTTGATCTGAGTCTGAGAGCAGAAGCGCTTTGAGCACTAGGTGGCGTAACCAGCCCAAACTTAATTAAAGATCAGTGACGGCAGTATTATTCGGTAATGCCATATGTCACCATATTGTTATCGTGGGCACTTATAAATACCGTGAATAATTATTTAGCCTATTACAAATTATTCCGATTTTTTTAATGCATTTTAAGAATACTTTTCCCATCAGCTGGACACAATGCACAACACATGCGCTCGCTCAGTTTTTTGCACCCTCAGATTCGAGATTTTCAAATAGTTGTATCTCGACCAAATATTGTCCTATCCTAACAAACCATACATCAATGGAAAGCTTCTTTATTATTTCACAAAATTGACCCTTATGACTGGTTTTGTGCTCCAGGGTCACATATTTCAATACCGTGATAATACCGTATACCGTGATAAAAGCAATAGCAATTAATCGCAACTTGAAAATTTGATACCGGCATATGCCTACACGGCAGGTGTGATGATGATGATGATGATTCCAGTGGTGTGTGTGTCGCTCTTCATCAGGATGAAGGGCTGAGGATGAGGAAGGCCAATCAGTTCGACAGCTCCGTCTCCAAGTCTTCGGTGGCGATGCTGAGCAAAGATCCCGCCTCCAGATCGCTGCCGTCGCTGCTGGTGGTCCTACACGGCAGGTGTGATGATGATGATTCCAGTGGTGTGTGTGTCGCTCTTCATCAGGATGAAGGGCTGAGGATGAGGAAGGCCAATCAGTTCGACAGCTCCGTCTCCAAGTCTTCGGCGGCGATGCTGAGCAAAGATCCCGCCTCCAGATCGCTGCCGTCGCTGCTGGTGGTCATCGCCGCCATCTTCATCGGGTTCTTCCTCGGGAAGTTTGTCTTGTAGAGTTCTGCCAGAGCGGACCGTGCGCTCTTGTCGATAAGCGTGGCGTCTGCGCAGACGAGCCCCACGGCAGCGGAAATAAAAGTGTCTGTGTACAGGATCATTCAAACAGGCCTTGCCTTTCTCACACGGTTAGTACACACACACACTCACCCACACTCACACACACACACACACACACTCACCCTAACACACACACAG